GCCTGCCTGGGGAGGGGGGCGCGGGGGGACTCTTGGGGAGTGGGCTGGGTCCCTTCCCTGGTATGGGCTGGGGACCCCTCTGGGCATGGGCTGGGGTCCCCTCCAGGAACAGGTCAGGGTCCCCTCTGGGCACGGGTCCCCTCCAGGAACAGGTCGGGGTCCCCTCTGGGCACGGGCTGGGGTACCCTCCAGGCACAGATCTGGGGTCCCTCCCAGGCACAGGTTGGGGTCCCCTCTAGGCATGGATCTGGGTCCCCTCTGCACATGGGCTGGGGTCCCCTCTGAGCACAGGCTGGGGTACCCCTCCATTCATGGATTGGGGTCCCCTCGGGACACAGGTCTGGGTCCCCTCTGGGCACAGGTTAGGGTCCCTGTCCAGCCACAGATTTGGGTCCCCATCCAGCTGCTGGCTGGGGTCCCCATCTGGATATGGGTTTGGGGACCCTGTCTGGGTATGGGTTAGGGTCCCCATCTGGCCATGGGTTGGGGTCCACGTCTGGCTGCGGGCTGGGGTCCCGTATCCTTGCCACCCCGCTGGGGCTGCTGCTTCTTCCGTGGCTCCCACTGCCCATTGCCTCCCCCCAGCCCGTCCAGGAGCGCAGGTCCCTCTCGCTGCTCACCCCTCTGTGGCCCCGCAAGGTCCCCAGTGCCCCATACGTCCCCAGCCAGGGACAGGGCTGGGGCTGCAGCTACAGGGGTCTCTCCCCCCCACAGGTGGGCTGGAGTCCCCCACGCCAGCAGCTTGCTCTGCCCCAGGGCGTGGCTTGGAGGAGCATCAGATTTTTTTTAATACTCCAGCGAATTTATGGAGTGCGTCTGAGACGGCGGAGACGCAGTGCTGCTGTCACTGCAAACCTCTTCCCACAAATCCCACTTCCAACACCAAAAGTTGTTTTTCCTAATTAAAAAAAAAAAAAACAACAACAAAACCCAAACCACAAACTTCAGGGTTTCCACATGAACCTATTCCAGAAATGTTTCTGGCCAAAACAGCTGCGCATGGGGATCTCCCTAGCCTGTACTGGAGATCTCCAAGCGCGTGCTTGGAGAGAGGTGGGTGGTGTCTCCGAGCCCTTCCCTTTCGATGGAGCTGAGCTCAAACCCACCCCCAGCGACCCCTCCCTGCAGAGCGGTATTGTCCCCACAGGGGCTGTTTGGTGACATCATCTCGCTAACGTAACCCCAAAATAACCAAATATGCTTCCCCCCTCCCCCCCTCCAGGAGACGCTCCAGAGCAACCTGGTTTTTCTACAAAAAGAGAAAGAAGAATTTAAGCCCAAAGGAGAAAAGAAAAGTGACAGCCTGCTGGTGTGTGTTTCTCTCTCTGTGCCCTCCTGCCTGCTTACCCACCCCTCTTCATGGGCGTGTCCCATCTTTCCCCATTTATATTTATCTCCTTTTCCATAACAACACTATTTTCTCTCTCCCTCCCTGTCCATCCCATATACCTTTCTTCCATCCTGCTCTCATTCAGACTCTGCTGTCATCTTGGGTCCATCAAGACTTGCCACCCGTTTCCCCCCTCCACTCTTCCAGCTTTTCCTTTCCAAAAACTCTTCTCCTTTTCCCTGTGATCCTTGCCCCTCTCTTCACAGCACTGGGTCCCTGTGCCCGCGCGGAGGCGGCCGGAGGACGGGATGGCTCAGGGGCCTCCGTGTGGGTGCCTTGCAGGGGAAGGTGGCCTCGGAGCGGCAGAGGCTGCGGGACACCTTCAAGGAGCTGCAGCAGTTCCTGCGGGAGCAGGAGGGCGTCCTGCTGGCCCAGCTCGACCAGGCGCACGGGGAGCTCACCAAGGAGCGCCGCAAATACGTCTCCAGCGTTTCAGAGAGGAAATCGCTGCTGGACACGCTGATTGCGGAGATAGAGAAGAAACGTGACCAGCCGGTGGTCGAATTCCTTACGGTGAGTCTGCATGGCCCACACAGGTGCTGTGACTCCCTGGCGAGGCTGGGGGCGCCCACCCAGCACCCTCTGCATCCCAGTGCCCGTGCAGCCCGGAGCCTGGGAGCAAAGGGCAGCACGGTGCCAGCCGGCGTGCCAGCGGCCAAGCTGTGACACCGCGGTGCGTGGTGTGGCTGG